GAGACGCTTTTACAGCGAGACGCTTTTACACACAGACCCTTTTGCACTACACACAAACACTTACACACAAACACTTACACACAAACGCTTACACACAGACGCTTTTACACACAGACGTTTTTACACACAGACCCTTTAACACAGAGAAGTTTTTACACACAGACCCTTTCACACACAAATATCTTTACACAGAAACACTTTTACGCACAGACGCTTTTACATACAAACATCTTCACACAGAGACGCTTTTACATACAGACCCTTTTACACACAGACCCTTTTACGCACAGACACCTTTACACACAAACGCTTTTACACACAGACCCTTTTACACACAGACCCTTTCACACACAGACGCCTTTACACACAGGCGCTTTTTTCACACAGACCCTTTTACACACAAACATCTTTACACAGAAATGCTTTTACACACAGACCCTTTTACACACAGACACTTTTACACACAGACCCTTTTACACACAGACCCTTTTACGCACACACACGCTTTTTCACACAGACCCTTTTACACACAGACCCTTTTACACACAAACACTTTTACACACAGACCCTTTTACACACAAACATCTCTACACAGAAACACTTTTACACACAGACGCTTTTACACACAGAGGCTTTTACATACAGACCCTTTTACACACAAAGTGGGCATGTTCACCTTCCATTTTATATGGTATTTGCCACATTTTGGCATGTTCACCTTCCATTTTGCATGGGATTTCCTACATGTGGGCATGTTCACCTTCCATTTTGTATGGTATTTGCCACATTTTGGCATGTTCACCTTCCATTTTGCATGGGATGTTCTACATGTGAGCATGTTCACCCAAATATTTACAGATGCGGAAGCTTGGGATTAGATAAAAAGCGGGTGGGGGGATTGAGGGAGGGCGCTAGCTATCTATCCAGCTAGCTAGCTATCTAGCTATCTATCTAGCAAGCTAGCTATCTATCTAGCAAGCTAGCTATCTATCTAGCAAGTTATCTATCTATCTATCTATCTACCTATCTAGCTAGCTATCTTGCTAGCTATCTATCTACCTATCTAGCTATCTAGCTAACTATCTATCTAGCTATCTAGCTATCGAGCTTTCTATCTATCTAGCTATCTAGCTATCTAGCTTTCTATCTATCTAGCTATCTATCTATCTAGCCATCCAGCTGTCTATCCAGCTATCTAGCTATCGAGCTATCTAGCTAACTATCTATCTAGCTATCTAGCTATCTAGCTTTCTATCTATCTAGCTATCTATCTATCTAGCCATCCAGCTGTCTATCCAGCTATCTAGCTATCGAGCTATCTATCTAGCTATCTATCTAGCTAACTATCTACCTATATCTATTTAGCTATCTATCTATCTATCTAGCTATCTATCTAGCTACCTCTTTATCTATCTAGCTAGCTATCTATCTATCTAGCTATCTATCTAGCCATCTATCTATCTAGCTATCTATCTAGCCATCTATCTATCGAGGTATCTAGCTATCTATCTCTCTAGCTATCTATCTATCTAGCTGGCTATCTATCGATCTAGCTATCTATCTACCAAGCTATCTATCTATCTATCTATCCATCCATCCATCTATCTATCTATCTATCTATCACATGCATGTAATCCTGTCAGCTTTCCAGAGAAGGTTAGTTCGCAAAAAACAACTAATGTAACTTGGGTTTAAGTTTAAATTTAAAAAAAAAGCGGGAGGGGGGGATTGGGGGGAGGGCGCAGCGCCTCCCCCGAAAGCAGAATGCAAGCACCTCTTCTCACATGTTACGTTGCTAGTTTTCAAGAGAAGGTTGGTCATGTGATACTCAGGGATGTAAATACTGTGCAAAATGCATCTTACATGAAAATCAAGTATTTAAAGCAGGCAAAGCAAAAAAAAAAACAGAGAAGCAAAGAAACAGGAAACGCACAAAAGCAAAACAGCAGAAAGGCAAAGAAGCAGGAAAAGCAGAAAAGCAGAGAAGCAGGAAAAGCAGGAAAAGCAGAGAAGCAAAGAAACAGGAAAAACAGAAAAGCAGAGAAGCAGGAAAAGCAGGAAAAGCAGAGAAGCAGGAATCCAAAAATAATTCCTAAACCTGATCAAAAAAAATCCTAAAATAATTAGCCCTCCTTTTTTAATCATTTAAGCAGTCATCAAGTTCAAAAA